CACTTTTAATTAACTCCCTTACTTTATATTTGAAGTATTTATTTATTAAAAAAAAAACTTTTAAAACAATTTACTTATTTGTGTTACATATATAGTAACATGTTTTCAAGAAATATGAATGTAAATCTCGTGTTTTATAATTTTACAGGCTATAGTTTTTATTGCCCCCAAACTGAACTACAAGAACTTAAATGAGGAGGTGATGAAACACTTTGCCAGACTACAGGCCAGAGATGATCAGGTAGGCAAAGACTTAAAAGGCAGTTTCTTCTAATAGTAATTTTTTTCTGACAGCAGTATACTTGTACCGGTACACATTGATCATACTATTTAACTACTGTATAGGGGGAAAATAACTCGCGGTGTTAATATTCGCTATATTCACAGTGTTAATAAATCCGTGAATTCAAGAAACAGTGAATAAATTTTCAATAATACCCATGTTTTATTTGGAAATTTGAGAATAAACTACGATAACATAGGCTTCTATACATGTCCATGCAGTACATAATCATTTCAGTAATTACGAGTAGTACTTGTCATTCAATTATTTTAATAATCACGCTTTACCTTAATTCAACCAGGCAGATAATAACCTGTATTTCCTAAAAAGCTGTTTTAATAACCAACGCTGGATGTTTTATCAATCAAAAAACGTGGGCCATGGGTTTTGATTACCCGTGCGTAATTAATGTTACCACGTGTATTTGTTACCTGCACTATCATGCATATTAGTTTTTATCAACATTTTTTTTAAAAAATTATTCAAATAACTATATCGAACTTACTGAAGATGTGGAAAGATACTATTTTGTCGACCTGCATTAACTCATTTATTACCGTCCAGTGGTTTTTCGCCGCGTTCTGAAAATCTTGGGGTTGTGTATGTATGCACTCAACATAATACATAGCATATAGAAAAAGTCATTCGACGTTTATAGTAAAGACTTTTGATAACTACACTTGTTTTAATAAATTGTCAATGATTTAATAAATCTGATTATTTTATATTGACCTAGACCCTATTGTTCGTGAAATAAATACAAGGGAGGTAACTTATATTATACACATGTACCAATTCCGCGAATTCAAGAAACCGCGATCGTGTCAGATGAGGAAAAAACGTGAAAATTACAACCCGTGAAATTAATCCCCTATACAGTATGAGTGTGACTGATCGACAGGGAAAATTTAAACCTCCATGGCAAATGATCCCACCTCTTGTGTGTTTAAGAGCTCTGTATTTGCTGTGCTCTAAACTTGTACTATTCCAAATGACTTATGACCTTGAGTACTGTTTGTCATTTTCATATTTTATGTATAGTTGTATTAATTTACCAGTAACAGTCCTATGTATTTGTCTTTTTCAAACTTGAGGAAGTAAATTTATAAATGACATGATTATTGCAGGGTGGTATAAGGACAAACACAACAGTGTGTCTAGGGAAGATAGCATGTCATCTGAATCCACAAGTAAGTTACAATGTACCAGGGTAATGAAGGATTTGTTTAGAGCAAGGTGAATTTTTTTATGGAGATTCATTTGTCAGTACACTGCATCATAGAGTAATGAATATTTATATCAAAGCAGGAACATGTGTGTTGAAGATACATGGGTTCACAAAAAATATTATAAATGTATATTCCAATAAAGTTATATTTTTGACTCTAGGTGAGACAGAAGATGATATCCTCGGCCTTTCTGAGGGCCCTGAAGGATCCATTTCCCCCAGCCAGACAGGCTGGGATACTAGGCATGGCGTCCACCCAGAACTTCTTCACATTGAATGAAATAGCTCAGAGGTTATTACCAGCAGTGTGTTCCATGACCAGAGACCCAGAAAAGGGGGTCAGAGATCAGGTACTAATCAATATTCTATACTTGTTTTGTCACTATTTCTTTTTCAGTCACCAAGCACCTTAGGATACCAAGCACATTGCTCGGCGCTGTTGCACAAGTGTACACATACAGAGTTTTATAAACAAAAATATTAATGAATTGATTACCCTCGTGATTCTATATGTGAAGGTGGAATAATTTTGTATAAATAGCACAATGAAAGGAAACAAGGAAAGATATTGATATACGCATGTATTAAGTATCTAAAAGTATGAATATTTTAAAATGAGTTTCATTTATCTTTCAGGCATTCAGGGGAATAAAATGCTTTGTAGAAAAGTTAGAAAAGGTTTCAGAAAATCCAGAGTTAGAAGCAGAGATGGGTAAATTTCATTCTATTAATCATTGAAATGTTTCAATGACAGTTCTTTGAATAAACAATAAATTCAAATAATCAAGTGAAACATTTATGTAATCATGGTCAAGAATTACAATAAACATAAAGCATTGTGTCTTTGAGTTTGAAATATTATATTGAGAGGCCTACATTTTGTCCATTTCCAGAGAAGGATGTTCTGTCTGGGGGTTCTACAGTCTCCAGCAGTGCTGCCAGCTGGGCGGGGTGGGCGGTGACAGGGGTGTCTTCCCTGACATCCAAACTGTACAAAAAGGATGGCACCAGACAGAAGGCAACGGGTAAGATGTCCATCAGACAGATATATATTGCTCTCTCTCAGATGATTGTGTACAGATAGTGCTATTGTATTAATTTTTTGGTACAAATTCAAACTGACAGAAAATCACACTTGTCAACTGTATGTATAGTCTTACTTGAATTACTGTGCAGTGGATACACATAAAAATTATCTTGAAAATATAGAGGTATAGTATTGGGAAAATAAAGTCACAGAGAATATTATAAATTTCATAACCGACTTATTTTAGAAGGAAAAATAACGGGACAAAATACCCCCCGCTGGGTTTTTCAGAGGTGCTAAATCATGAATATTTTATGAATCTAAGAGAAGAGAGAAATGCTAAAACATTTTTAGTGCAAATGTAATTGCTCATTATATTTTTTATAAATGAAATGAAGGCGCAGCCTAATAAAAAAATAGACTAAATATATGGACCAGACACGAATTATGAACTTTTTCTGTCAGTGACCTTGAATTTGCATAAATGACCTTAGTTTAAAGTCATGACAGAACCTCAGGTCATAAGCAATGTTTGTGTGAAATAGTAGATTCAAGTTTTTCCATAATAAAGAAAGATATGGACCAGACACAAATTATAAAATCTTTCTTCCAGTGACCTTGAACTTCCCCAAGTGACCTTGACCCAAGGTCGTGACACATCCTTAGGTCATGAGCAATCTTTGTGTGAAATGAGAACTTACCAAGTAAGAAAGATATGGACCAGACACAAATTATGAAATTTATCTTCCAGTGACCTTGAACTTCCCTAAATGACCTTGACCAAGATCATGACACATCCTAAGGTCAAGAGGAATCTTTGTGTGAAATGAGAACTTACCAAGTTTATCCATAAGAAAGATATGGACCAGACACGAATTATGAAATTTTTCTTTCAGTGACCTTGAATTTCCCCAAATGACCTTGGGTCAAGGCCGTGACACTTCCTTAAGTTATGAGCAATCTTTGTATGAAATTAGAACCTACCAAGTTTATCCATAAGAAAGATATGGACCCGACACAAATTATGAAAATTTTCTTCCAGTGACCTTGAACTTCTCCAAATGACCTTGGGTCAAGGTCATGACACACCATCAGGTTATAAGCAATCTTTATGTGAAATTAGAACCTACCAAGTTTATATCTATAAGAAAGATATGGACCGGACACGAATTATGAAATCTTTCTACCAGTGACCTTGGACTTCCCCAAATGACCTTAGGTCAAGGTCATGACACACCCTTGGGTCATGGGCAATTTTTGTGTGAAACGAGAACCTACCAAGTTTATTCATAAGAAAGATATGGACCGGACACGAATTATGATTTTTTTTCTTCCACTGACCTTGAACTTCCCCAAATGACCTTGGGTTAAGATCATGACACATTCTTAGGTCATGTGTAATCTTTTTGTGAAATTAGAACCCACCAACTGAAGTTTATCCATAAGAAAGATATGGACCGGACACGAATTATGAACTTTTTCTACCAGTGACCTTGAACTTCCTCAAATGACCTTGGGTCCGGACACAAATTATGAATTTTTTCTACCAGTGACTTGAACTTCCTCAAATTACCTTGGGTGAAGGTCATGACACACCCTTAGGTCATGGGCAATCTTTGTGTGGAGTAGTAGATTCTAATGTTCCTTTGTAAGAAAGATATGGACCGGACACGTTTGCACTGACAGACAGACAGCTAGACAGACGGACAGACAGACAGATGGACAGACGGACAAGGTGATTCCTATATATCCCCCCAAACTTCGTTTGCGGGGGTATAATAATTGATATGGTCCATGTTTCATGTGACCCAATAATGTCTTATTACCGTACCTTTACTTTTTATATCTAGGATCACCAGGACCAGCACAAAATGTTGGTGAACTTCCAAAAAAGCCTACTCCAAAACCAGTGAGTGATAATCCATCAGCCCCAGAACCAAGTCAGCCTGAGGAGACAGGGTGGGACGAGGAAGGATGGGGAGATATTGATGTAAGAGACAGGAACTAAAAACCATGTTCTTATTTACTAACTATATTAACTTCATTAACTTCATTAACTTCATTGTCCTTTTCTATAATTAAGATTGATTTTTTTAATTGTTAAATTTACTTTGATGAATGAATCATTTATGAACCACTTTTTGATAGGATACTGTAGATAATGAGGAGGAGTTGAGTGAGACTCAGCCTCGGTCCACTGATGGCTGGGAGGACAATGATGAGGAGGACTGGGGCAGTCTGGAGGATACGGCCCCAAAGGTAGGGCCAAATTAATACAGTCACTTAGAGGGTAGGGCATACAAACAAGGCCAAATAAATACCGTCACATACAGTGAAGGGCATACAAACGAAGCCAAATAAATACAGTCACATATGGTGTAGGGGCATTCAAACGAAGCCAAATAAATACAGTCACATATAGTGTAGGGCATAACAAACGAAGCCAAATAAATACAGTCACATATAGTGTAGGGCATACAAACAAAGCCAAATAAATACAGTCATATATAGTGTAGGGCATACAAACGAAGCCAAATAAATACAGTCACATATAGTGTAGGGCATACAAATGAAGCCAAATAAATATACAGTGGACCCTCATTTATCCGGACGCTTTGGTTCCTAGTCAATTTGTCCGGATATGTGAAGCATCCGGATATCTGAATCACCAGTTAAATAAGACAGAATAACATTTTAAAATTTCGTTCCGATGAAAAATCATCCGGATACTGAAGCATCTGGATATCTGGCGTCCGGATATCTGAAGGTCCACTGTAGTCACATATAGTGTAGGGCATACAAACGAAGCCAAATAAATACAGTCACATACACTATAAGGCCATATAACTAATAAAGATAGTCTCATAAAGGGAAGGGCATACACACTAGGTCAAACAAATACAGACTACCACAGTTTGTGAGGGCATACAAACAAATCCAAACAAATCCTGATAGTCACATACTGTTAAGGGCATACAAACAAGGCATACACATTAAGATGAGTATTAAACAGTCAAATAGAGCTTACAAATGAGGTCAAATACATACAGCTAAATAAAGTCACAAGGGCATAAAAATAAGGCCAAACAAATACAGATAAAACATAACAGTGGGCATTCAAACAAGGCCCAATACGTACAGAAAGATAAAGGGTCACAGAAGACTTACAAGACTATTCTGAATTCTTCAGGCTGAAAGTTAAACAGAGAATGCAGATATTTCTGGTAGCAATGTGTGAAATAGTGATTAAAAAAGGCCATCATATTAAGAACTGCATTAGAAATAGAATGCACATAAGTCAGCTCAGTAAGGCAGCTCACTAACAGTTTATACAAAGTAGGCCAGCTAAGTCGTTGTTGTAGCATTAAACGAGGCATTGTACCTCAGAGCAGATTACTTATGAGCTGTAATTTTGGCTTATAAAATCACTGAATTGTTTACGAGTGAATTGTTTAAAGTGATTACCTGCCAAGTTAAGATTCTATTGTTTCTGATTCTTTTTTATTCAGAATTATTCTCTTATATGTAGAGTGTTGGTCAGGAAAAATCATCAGGCAGTTCCATGAAGCTTGGTTCTAAAAAAGCCGAGGATGAGTGGGGAGGGGACTTTGGTAATGAATTTGTGAGTACCGAGGACAGCGGCCTAACAATGGCAGGGGAATACAACTGGGGGAATACATCAGAAACTGCCCAGGAAGACTTCTTTTCCTCAGCTATGGGACTTCCAAAAGTAAGTAGTTTGAATACAATGTACCTTCATTGGTTGCAAATTTTTTTTATTTTTTGATAAATCAGCACCTCCAAAGAGGGGAGTAGTCTTCAGAAATAAATTTACATTTTAAAAAATCTCCATCAGTCAAGTAGGTCCCTCATGATAAAATCAATGTAATAAGCCTGAATATTAGAAAACTCCAATTCTGGAATCTTAAACATATTGCTTTTATGGGTTTGTGAAAAATCTTGGGGGAAAACACACCTATTTGTGTATAATTTGCAATCACTTATAAATCTGAATAGGGTGAATTCACCATGCATCGGATACCCTTGTACTTCAACAAGTTCTAGCGATATCGCTACCGACGGAAAATTATCAAAATGGAGTTTAACGTTTAGTTTGTGATTAAATTATCTATTTGGGACACAATTATATGCCCTTTATTGAGAAAATATCCTCAAAAATCGACTTTTTAGGAATAACTCAAAATTCACCATGGATCGGACATTGTTTACCATGCATCGAACAGACGGTATTTTGTCCGGAAAAATATCATACCTTTATCAAAGTGCTTTAAAATGCGTGATATGGATATATTTTTATCTTTTATCTAAGAAATAATCCTCAACTTAAATTTAATTGACGATATCGTTGCACAAATGTAGAACGATTCAAGAGACCTCACTCTGCCTTAGAAATGATTTAAAATGCTTATAATGCGGTAATTCGCGCCTTTTTTTCATGGTTTATCATGCTCTGGTTTGTAGAAATAAATTGAGTCAAATTCCAGACATCATATATCGATAACTTGTATTTTGACTGAAAATATAGAATTTTTATTTTCTTTTTCCGCAAAAAACAGCTATCAGCTGGGTTCAGTAAGAAAATGGTAGTGCTTACCTTTGCATCGGAAAGTGTCCGATGCATGGTTAATTTGTGTCCGATGTACGGAGAAATGAACATACTAATGAAAACCAGCTCTAAAAAGAATTATACGAACATTGAAGTGAAATGTCTTTAAAATTTATGTAAATTTACCAATATTTGACTTTATTCACCAAAGTCTGACTCGTTCCCTTGAAGTGGAATTTTAAGAACGATAACTCTAAAAATCGCAAAATCATAAATTTCTGGTTATTCCCCTTTGATGATGAAAAATATGACGTAACTTCAAGGCCATTCTCGGGGTATTTATATCATAACATGGTAATAACAATCGGTATCATTAAAAAATTTAAATCTTCATCTTTAAGACAGAAACAAATAAATACACGAAATTCTTAAGTTGAAAGAGAGTTTATTGTCTAAAGTTGTCCGAAGCAAGGTATGTGTCCGATGCATGGTGAATTCACCCTAACTGAGATTGTTAATTTAATAAAATCTTCCTTTCCTTTAACAGCAAAAACCAGCAAAAACAAAACCAAAATCCAGTCCATCCAGTTCTAGATCCAGTCCGGCGCCATCTGGTGTTGTAGCTAGTCAACAGAAGGCTTCAAAAGTGGAGTCTGGGTGGGACGTAGAAGACTCAGGGTGGGGGACAGAGGAGTGGGGGCCTGTGGGGTCCACCAACAAGACCACAGTCCAGAGTCGCCCAGCTAAACAGAAGAGTCCTAGTCCTCCTCCAGACACCTCAGGGTGGGGCGATTCAGGCTGGGGGGATGGTGACGACTGGGGAGCAGGTACACAAGCACTAATCTCAGATATTGTTTTTATTTTTAGTAGTGTAAAAATGTAAATAAATGCCAATCGTGAAATTTTTCTCAATTATACTACTTAATAACCAGTTTTTTTGTGTGTGTTCATGGTTCAGGTCAGTTGATCAAGTGTCAATATGAGAATTTCAGAATGTATTTTAATATGTAGAACATTATAAAGTACTAGATAAAAGGTATTTCAGGCTATATCTTAACATCTAGAGAGCATTACCAAACCTGGCCATCTAGGTAAATGTAGAAAATAAGGATTTAATTGTGTCTAGTCTTCTCAGAGATTCATGTGTTTGATTGTACACCATTAAAACTATATCATTAACCAGGTACCAACAAAATTGATGAAACAAGGAGAAAAAAAGAAGAAAGAGAAGAAAAGAGATTACAAAGGCAGAGAGAGATAGAAGAAAGGCGTGCAGCCAGGAAAGGAGGAGGGGCACTAAAACTAGGGGCTAAAAAAACAGCTCTAGATTGAGCCGGTCTCTGGAGCCAACTGTCAATGTGATACAAACTAAGTTTTACAATTACATAAAAAGAAAGATTTAAATGTCAAAGGTGTATACGCATCTTTCCTGCCAAAAGGTGTCCAATATTTAATGTTATGCAAAATCTGTAATAAAAAGCAGATGAGATCCTATGTTTTTGTAAAATTGTATTTAATGGATGAATGCCCAATCTAATTTTTGACATTGAACAGAGATGTGAATGCTTTTCTGGGATTAAAATTGTTAAATAATAAAGTTATGAATGTAATTTAAGTTTTTGCAAATTTTTTGAATGTATTTCAATTATATAATATTTTATGAAGTAATATACATGTACTGGTAAATTTGATATAAAGTACCTGTATCAGTTTTTTTCTCTTCTTTCAAACATTAGCATGCTTAGGCCATATAAAATTGAAATCTTGGTTCTCAGGCCCGCGCGCATCTGTCTGGAGGTACCCGCATTGCCGATTTTATTGTATTTTTGATAAAATAAAAAGTTGGTATTGCGGAGACCAATCCGGGAAAAAAAATTCCGACCTCATTTGTTTCGTAGTTTAGTATTCAAATATCACTTCCGGTAGCCATTTACAATGAGATTTTGGCTACTTCGTTTGAAAATACATTTGAGGACATTACCAACGATGTTTACACGCTGTTAAGCAATGGATAAAGCAGACATTTTGACCAGAAATGGAAAGTATATCTGTGATTAAAAAATTATCTTTATGTTAAAGAAAATCGGAAATTAAAATTTAAAAAAAATACCTCCCTCATCTACTTTATTGCCAATAAAATGAAAAATAAAATGCCGCCCTCCCGCATCTGTTTTGGAGAAAATTGGCCTGAGAACCAAGGAATTAAATTTAGATAGCCTTAGATTTCTGGTGTACACTGTACATTTTCCTCTGATCTGAATTTTTATGAGGACTTTGTCAGACTCTGCTTGAGATGAACTGTCAATTGTTTACTATTGAAATATTATTGAAGATACTTTTAACACATATCTTATTTCAACATGTAATTGTTTGCAAGGGATGTGCAATACATTGATACAATTCATTTTTAAAATGTGAAGACCTACAATGTTGGGTTTATAATTTACAGTATTACCTGTATACTAATTAATTGTTAATGAAAACAAAGAATTTTTGTTCCTCTCAATTTATTGCACAAAATATTTCATAAGAAATAAATAAAATAAATTTTATTTGAAAGACTTCTTTTATACTGTTAGTTTAAGTCTGGCACAACATTGGAAGTTCATCATCATAGCTGTTTCTAATATTCTCATGTGTAGTTACATTTACACATGCATTGAGTTTGCATTACAAATTTGGCACTGTATAAAAGTACATTTATATACAGCAGCATGTAGAGACTAGTGGACTCTTCAAGACATGTACTTGTGTGTTGACTGTTCACATCTCAATGTGCTGGAATTTTTCAGATTATTGTCTTGCCCTCCTGTATCTATAGGTATATACAATGCTCAATTCTGCAGAGCACTACTGAGTACTTATAAGTTTCACTATGGTGTCAATGATTTTGCTTCCCTTGGGACAGTTACACAGGTCCATATGTGGATTCTGTATTTTATCAGTCAGGAGTTGATCAAGTTCTAGTCTTAACTCTCGCACCAACTCAGCCACCTGTAAGGATTGAGAGAACATGTTTACACAATGCAAAACTTATAAACCACACTTTTTGGAGCCAAAAGTTATTTTGATATGGATGAGGCTAATAGCTGTAACTAGAGAGTGCTTAGACACTATATAACCCAGGAGACCCCCATGAGACCCATGCATTTATACAACATAACAGACAAAAATACCCCAATTCTATAGACAAATAGATTGCATACATTTATTTACATACAAAAGAAACCCACATAAATATATAATGTTTAAAAGCTCTGATAAATAGAAATTTCACCAATGATTTGTATTAATTAAGAAATTTTTGGAAGTAAGGAGAAACGTATATGGTAACAGGCTGTGACAGAATGCTTCTAATTTTACCTTTGGAGAATCTGCAAGAAATCTTATCCAGCCATCATCTATAGAAAGGACAAAGTTTCCCTTCTCCAAATCCACCGAAATGCTTCCTCCCCCAAACAGCAGCAGGGGGTACATACTGACCATGGTACAGTCTCGGATGTATACCTGATCAATGAGCCAAAAATATCTATATCAAAGGCTATACTGTATACAGTGTTATTTTTACTCTGTTCTTTCTGTCCAACTTTCAAATATGTTACTCCCATTTTAACTTCGCCAAGACACAAATGTATTAAAGAGATAAGTTTTTCCATCTTTGAATTTACCCTGCTCAAAATTCACCCTCAGGTCCAAAGTACTTCTGGGGGTAAAATAGACTGAAGAAAAAAACTTCCTGTATATATCAGTACAAGATATTCCCTATATCAAGGTTATTATTGTTTACCTTTGTGGTCTTCACTTTTTCATGGTAAACAAGATAGGGACTCTCATAATGGTTCACTTGAAAGTTCACAGAAGAAGGATGGATGTGGACCTGAAAAAAACAGCAATTTTATTATTTACATATTAAAACAGTCAAACCTCATTGTCTTGAACTCAATGGAACTGACAGAAAACTGACTGATAAGAAATAAACTTACAAAACCATCAGATTTAGTTCTAAACTTCAGTTCATCTGGTTTTGGAGCCTTGTAAAGTGCACCTTACAATTTAAAAAAAATGAATTAGGCTTAGATTACATGTCAAAGTCCAAGCATACTAGGAATATGCATTGTAAAAAAAAATATGAGATGTTTGTAAAACACTTATGCCCTCCCCCTAAATAATTGCAATTTTTCTAAGTCCAAGGGACATAACTTTGTCAAAAATGGCTTGATCATCCCTAGAACAGAACTTGAGCCAGATATTTATTGATAAATCTCTACACCAAATTTCAATTCAATATGTACAACTTCCGCAAAGAAAATGAATGGAAACTGCAAAATTGGAATTGTTCTTAGTCCAAGGTGCATAATTCTGTCCAAAATAGTCCCATCATACCCAAACAGAACTTGACATAGATATTTTTATGATAAATCTGTACATCAAATTTCATTTCAATATGTGCAACCTCTACGAAGAAAATGAACAGAAACTGATGGTGGATGGACATACCAACCGACCAACAGACCGCAGCTAAGCAATATGCCCTCCCTTCTTCGAAGGGGGGCATAATTATAAAGTTTTGGACAAAATGCCTCTTCCATTGCAGTTTTACCTGTGCTTCCTTGGCTAAATTTGTCGGATGGTTTCATCACCTGCACAACATTTGGATACAATGCTCCAACCAAGATGGCAGAAACCAGCTTCCAGTTTGCTGAATTAATATTGGCCTGTAATTGAAAAAATGCAAATATATACAAGATATATACAAAATATATACAATTCACATGTAACCTTATGAATTGCACCACACATATTGCTACCAGACTGTAAATTACTGAGGATGATTTTTCTCCTCACCTCTATCCCCGTGACATCCACCACCCCATCAGATCCTCCCCTGGCTGCTCTTTCCACGTCTCGGACCACAATTCCCTCTTTCACAAACCCAATGTCTGACAACAGCTCCACAAACTGCTGTTTCATACTGGCCAACATCTGGTAAAAAATAAAAAAAATTGGAGATTTAATTTTCAAAAGTTCAGCTTTATCATAATTTTAAGTAGATTGTGCATTAGGTAACATTTTGATAATGAAATCCTCACCTGGAGGGACTTATATGACAGGAAATTTTCATGACAGAATCTGTAGCCCTCATTATGGGACTTCAATCTGGACTCGATCCATCCCTGTACAAAGTTAACAGTGATTACAAGAGACCTGGGCATTCATTTCTTGTCATGTTAAAATGTAGCAAGTCTACAAATTAAGCTTAAGAGAAGGGTTTTAATAACTGGAACACTTCCTCACAATGGACAGAACTGCGCTAGTGAGTTATGGCTAGGTATAGGCGTTTCTGTGCAAATGAGCTTTTGAAAATGCATATGTTGTGAAATTTTTACACAGAGAAGGTTCAAGCTTATTTTCTTATACATACTTAGTACCCACAGCATGACAAAGCAACTACAGATTATGACGTCGTATCATATGACGTCATTGATCTTTTCCATTCAAGGTAATATACACATTAACAAAACAATGTCGGCACAAGGGTATATCCTATCTAATTTTTGATAAATAATGTATAAAATTTAGACCTCAATACATAGCCTTAATCTACTTGCACGATACTGATACATACAACAATGCATAAACTGCCCTCAATATTCCTCTATTCAACTTCAAATATACAGGTACCTTGTATGCATTGAGCATTGTAAGGTGATCAGAATTCCCCACAGCAAATTCTAATTTCTTCTTGTCTGCCTCATCTCTCTTGTCAAATGGAGACACCTGTGAAAAGAACCGACTAAATGTAGTAAAGTGCATAAAACTAATAAAATGTTTGTTAATTCTCATTTAAAATAAAATGTATGTAAGTATTAATAAACTTCACGTACAAATGGGGACTTGTAACTAAGAGTTGCAGCAATGGTTAATGCTGGGTCAAGGCACCTGAATATTGCTCCAAACAGCATCAACTTCCCAATTCTGTAAAAAAAAAAAATTCATCAGCTTTAAATCATTTTTAAAACAAGCTTCAAAATTATTTTCTGTTCTTATAGCAAAATGTTAGAATCTCACCTGACATCTACAGGTAATGATCCCAAATGATAACCCAAGGGGGTTAACTCCTATAAAAATATTTAATAGTAATTTAAATTGAGAATTATTTCAATAACAAGAGGCCCATGGGCCACATCGCTCACCTGAGAAGCTTTGACCATTATGTTCTTTACCAGCTTTCCTCCTTATAATACATAATGCATCCCCACCCTACCCCACTGATCATAATTAAGACATTTTGAAATCTACACTACCCCAGGATCCTTCCATGTCCACATAAGTTTCAGCTTTTCTGGCCCAGTGGTTCTTCAGAAGATTTTCAAAGATTTTTCCTATATATTTCTATGTTAAACTTTGACTCCCCATTGTGGCCCTGCCCTTCCCCTGGGGGTCAGGATTTGAACAATTTAGAATTTACACTACCCCAGAATGCTTCCACATAAGTTTCAGCTTTTCTGGCCCAGTGTTTCTTGAGAAGAAGATTTTCAAAGATTTTTCCTATATATTTCTATGTAAAACTTTGACTCCCCATTGTGGCCCCGCCCTTCCCCCGGGGGTCAGGATTTGAACAATTTAGAATCTACACTACCACAGGATGATTCCACATAAGTTTCAGCTTTTCTGGCCCAGTGGTTCTTGAGAAGAAGATTTTCAAAGATTTTTCATATACATTCTAATGTAAAACTTTGATTCCCCATTGTGGCCCCGCCCTTCCCCCAACAGTCATGATTTGAACAATTAAGAATCTACACTATACCAGGATGCTTCCATATAAGTTTCACCTTTTCTGGCCCAGTGGTTCTTGAGAAGAAGATTTTCAAAGATTTTTCATATATATTTCTATGTAAAACTTTGACTCCCCATTGTGGCCCCGCCCTTCCCCCGGGGGTCATGATTTGAACAATTTAGAATCTACACTACCCCAGAATGCTTCCACATAAGTTTCAGCTTTTCTGGCCCAGTGGTTCTTGAGAAGAAGATTTTCAAAGATTTTTCCTATATATTTCTATGTTAAACTTTGAATCCCCATTGTGGCCCTGCCCTTCCCCTGGGGGTCAGGATTTGAACAATTTAGAATTTACACTACCCCAGAATGCTTCCACATAAGTTTCAGCTTTTCTGGCCCAGTGGTTCTTGAGAAGAAGATTTTCAAAGATTTTTCCTATATATTTCTATGTAAAACTTTGACTCCCCATTGTGGCCCCGCCCTTCCCCCAACGGTCATGATTTGAACAATTAAGAATCTACACTATACCAGGATGCTTCCACATAAGTTTCAGCTTTTCTGTCCCAGTGGTTCTTGAGTAGAAGATTTTCAAAGATTTTTCATATATATTTCTATGTAAAACTTTGACTCCCCATTGTGGCCCCGCCCTTCCCCTGGGGGTCAGGATTTGAACAATTTAGAATCTACACTACCCCAGGATGCTTCCATACAAGTTTCAGCTTTTCTGGCCCAGTGGTTCTTGAGAAGAAGATTTTCAAAGATTTTTCATATACATTCTAATGTAAAACTTTGATTCCCCATTGTGGCCCCGCCCTTCCCCCAACGGTCATGATTTGAACAATTAAGAATCTACACTATACCAGGATGCTTCCATATAAGTTTCAGCTTTTCTGGCCCAGTGGTTCTTGAGAAGAAGATTTTCAAAGATTTTTCCTGTATATTTCTATGTTAAACTTTTACTCCCCATTGTGGCCCTGCCCTTCCCCTGGGGGTCAGGATTTGAACAATTTAGAATTTACACTACCCCAGAATGCTTCCACATAAGTTTCAGCTTTTCTGGCCCAGTGTTTCTTGAGAAGAAGATTTTCAAAGATTTTTCCTATATATTTCTATGTAAAACTTTGATTCCCCATTGTGGCCCCGCCCTTCCCCCAGAGGGTCATGATTTGAACAATTTAGAATCTACACTACCCCAGGATGCTTCCATATAAGTTTCAGCTTTTCTGGCCCAGTGGTTCTTGAGAAGAAGATTTTCAAAGATTTTTCATATACAGTATACATTCTAATGTAAAACTTTGATTCCCCATTGTGGCCCCACCCTTCCCCCAACGGTCATGATTTGAACAATTAAGAATCTACACTATACCAGGATGAAACTTGAAACTTGAAACTTGTTTATTTAATTAAACGCCTATTTTTACATAAAACGTATTCAATGGCGTTGTACATTAAGAAAATAAAAGATATTTACATATATACATAAATTATACATATTCATAAAGTCCTTTTTTTTACACATAATACTACATACATACGAAGAATTAAAACAAGGAATTGAAGTCTCTGAAGAAGTAATTTTTTGATTTGTTTTTGAAAATGTCAATTGATCCTGAGTTTTGAACACTGGTTGGCAGTTCATTCCACAGTTTGGGGCCGATGGTACTAAAACTTCTGTCACTAAAGGTTTTTCTCTTATTAAATGGAACATTATAATGACTTTCAGAATTTCTTGAAGAGCGTAAATTGACATTTGATGTATTTTTCGTTAACAGTTCTTTTAAATACTCCGGTGCTTGGCCAACAGAACAATTGTACATGAATGTTAGAATTTTAAAAGATATTCTGCATTTGATTGGTAGCCAATGAAGATCATAAAGGGCTTTCTTAGAACTGTCATATTTTTTAAAGTTTAAAACTAGTTTTGCGCACATATTTTGAATTCTTTGCATTTTGATGATTTCTCCTTGCGATATACCATACAGAATCACATTGCAATAGTCCAAATGGGATATAACTAAAGATAAAACTAAGACTTCTGTTGCTTCGGTCGTTAAATATTTTCGAATACATTTGATTTTTTGGTAATTAAACATAGCTGTGCGGCATTTTTTGTTGACATGATCTTTAAAATTTAAGTTCTCATCCAGAAAAGCACCTAAATATCGTATACATTTAACAGATTCGATCTCATTTTCGTTAATGTTTATAGATTTTGTTGTACATTTTTCTAGTTGCCGTTTGCTTCCAAAGAGGATGAATTCTGTTTTTGATGAATTCATTTTAAGGTTGTTTGCATTCATCCAATTGTTAATATCGATAGCACATTCCTCTAGCTCGCGAATGGCGTTAATTTCATTGCGTTTTGACGTTGGGTTAAACCGTTTATTTGCGGTATGGTCGTCTGCAAAGCCATACACCGATATGGTTGAAGGAATGACATCAAATAAGGTCCCTGCGTATGTTAAATAAAGCCAGGGTCCCAGGCAGCTGCCCTGAGGAACGCTGCACTGCAGTTGACGTACCGATGATGTCACGGAGTTAACGCACACCGTGCAGCCACGAGGCCGCAGATAAGAATCTATCCACTTTAATGCCGAACCACATATTCCATACTGTTTTTGAAGTACATTCAGCAAAATTTCGTGATCTACCGTGTCAAATGCAGCACTTAGATCTATTGCAATTAAAGCAGTAACTTCTTGTTTTTCCATCGCGTCAAGAAGGTCATTTACAAGTCGTAGTAGAGCTGTTTCGCATGAATGAAAACGTCTGTATGCAGACTGATTTTTGGGGAGTAGGATGCTTCCATATAAGTTTCACCTTTTCTGGCCCAGTGGTTCTTGAGAAGAAGATTTTCAAAGATTTTTCCTATATATTTCTATGAAAAACTTTGATTCCCCATTGTGGCCCCGCCCTTCCCCTGGGGGTCATGATTTGAACAATTAAGAATCTACACTATACCAGGATGCTTCCACATAAGTTTCAGCTTTTCTGGCCCAGTGGTTCTTGAGAAGAAGATTTTCAAAGATTTTTCATATACATTCTAATGTAAAACTTTGATTCCCCATTGTGGCCCCGCCCTTCCCCCAACGGTCATGATTTGAACAATTAAGAATCTACACTACCCCAGAATGCTTCCACATAAGTTTCAGCTTTTCTGGCCCAGTGGTTCCTGAGAAGAGGATTTTCAAAGATTTTTCATATATATTTCTATGTAAAACTTTGACTCCCCATTGTGGCCCCGCCCTTCCCCCGGGGGTCAGGATTTGAACAATTTAGAATCTACACTATACCAGGATGCTTCCACATAAGTTTCAGCTTTTCCGGCCCAGTGGTTCTTGAGAAGAAGATTTTCAAAGATTTTTCCTATATATTTCTATGTTAAACTTTGACTCCCCATTGTGGCCCTGCCCTTCCCCTGGGGGTCAGGATTTGAACAATTTAGAATTTACACTACCCCAGAATGCTTCCACATAAGTTTCAGCTTTTCTGGCCCAGTGGTTCTTGAGAAGAAGATATTTAAAGATTTTTCCTATATATTTCTATGTTAAACTTTGATTTCCCATTGTGGCCCCGCCCTTCCCCCGGGGGTCATGATTTGAACAATTTAGAATCTACACTACCCCAGGATGCTTCCATATAAGTTTAGCGTTTAAGGCACAGTGGTTCATGAGAAGAAGATTTTCAAAGATTTTTCCTATACATTCTAATGTAAAACTTTGATTCCCCATTGTGGCCCCGCCCTTCCCCGAACGGTCATGATTTGAACAATTTAGAATCTACACTACCACAGAATGCTTCCACATAAGTTTCAGCTTTTCTGGCCCAGTGGTTCTTGAGAAGAAGATTTTCAAAGATTTTTCATATATATTTCTATGTAAAACTTTGATTCCTCATTGTGGCCCCGCCCTTCCCCCAACGGTCATGATTTGAACAATTAAGAATCTACACTACCCAAGAATGCTTCCACATAAGTTTCAGCTTTTCTGGCCCAGTGTTTCTTGAGAAGAAGATTTTCAAAGATTTTTCCTATATATTTCTATGTAAAACTTTGATTCCCCATTGTGGCCCCGCCCTTCCCCCAGAGGGTCATGATTTGAACAATTTAGAATCTACACTACCCCAGGATGCTTCCATATTAGTTTCAGCTTTTCTGGCCCAGTGGTTCTTGAGAAGAAGATTTTCAAAGATTTTTCATATACATTCTAATGTAAAACTTTGATTCCCCATTGTGGCCCCGCCCTTCCCCCAACGGTCATGATTTGAACAATTAAGAATATACACTATACCAGGATGCTTCCATATAAGTTTCAGCTTTTCTGGCCCAGTGGTTCTTGAGAAGAAGATTTTCAAAGATTTTTCATATATATTTCTATGTAAAACTTTGACTCCCCATTGTGGCCCCGCCCTTCCCCCAACGGTCATGATTTGAACAATTAAGAATCTACACTATACCAGGATGCTTCCACATAAGTTTCAGCTTTTCTGGCCCAGTGGTTCTTGAGAAGAAGATTTTCAAAGATTTTTCATATATATTTCTATGTAAAACTTTGACTCCCCATTGTGGCCCCGCCCTTCCCCCGGGGGTCAGGATTTGAACAATTTAGAATCTACACTACCCAAGGATGCTTCCATACAAGTTTCAGCTTTTCTGGCCCAGTGGTTCTTGAGAAGAAGATTTTCAAAGATTTTTCATATACATTCTAATGTAAAACTTTGATTCCCCATTGTGGCCCCGCCCTTCCCCCAACGGTCATGATTTGAACAATTAAGAATCTACACTATACCAGGATGCTTCCATATAAGTTTCAGCTTTTCTGACCCAGTGGTTCTTGAGAAGAAGATTTTCAAAGATTTTTCATATATATTTCTATGTAAAACTTTGACTCCCCATTGTGGCCCCGCCCTTCCGCCGGGGGTCATGATTTGAACAATTTAGAATCTACCCCAGAATGCTTCCACATAAGTTTCAGCTTTTCTGGCCCAGTGGTTCTTGAGAAGAAGATTTTCAAAGATTTTTCCTATATATTTCTATGTTAAACTTTGACTCCCCATTGTGGCCCTGCCCTTCCCCTGGGGGTCAGGATTTGAACAATTTAGAATTTACACTACCCCAGAATGCTTCCACATAAGTTTCAGCTTTTCTGGCCCAGTGTTTCTTGAGAAGAAGATTTTCAAAGATTTTTCCTATATATTTCTATGTAAAACTTTGATTCCCCATTGTGGCCCCGCCCTTCCCCCAGAGGGTCATGATTTGAACAATTTAGAATCTACACTACCCCAGGATGCTTCCATATAAGTTTCAGCTTTTCTGGCCCAGTGGTTCTTGAGAAGAAGATTTTCAAAGATTTTTCATATACATTCTAATGTAAAACTTTGATTCCCCATTGTGGCCCCACCCTTCCCCCAACGGTCATGATTTGAACAATTAAGAATCTACACTATACCAGGATGCTTCCATATAAGTTTCATCTTTTCTGGCCCAGTGGTTCTTGAGAAGAAGATTTTCAAAGATTTTTCCTATATATTTCTATGAAAAACTTTGATTCCCCATTGTGGCCCCGCCCTTCCCCTGGGGGTCAGGATTTGAACAATTTAGAATCTACACTACCCCAGGATGCTTCCACATAAGTTTCAGCTTTTCTGGCCCAGTGGTTCTTGAGAAGAAGATTTTCAAAGATTTTTCATATATAAATCTAACAAAAAGTAACAAACCACATTGTGGCCCCGCCCTTCCCCCGGGGGTCATGATTTGAACAATTAAGAATCTACACTACCCCAGAATGCTTCCACATAAGTTTCAGCTTTTCTGGCCCAGTGTTTCTTGAGAAGAAGATTTTCAAAGATTTTTCCTATATATTTCTATGTAAAACTTTGATTCCCCATTGTGGCCCCGCCCTTCCCCCAGAGGGTCATGATTTGAACAATTTAGAATCTACACTACCCCAGGATGCTTCCATATAAGTTTCAGCTTTTCTGGCCCAGTGGTTCTTGAGAAGAAGATTTTCAAAGATTTTTCATATACATTCTAATGTAAAACTTTGATTCCCCATTGTGGCCCTGCCCTTCCCCCAACGGTCATGATTTGAACAATTAAGAATCTACACTATACCAGGATGCTTCCATATAAGTTTCAGCTTTTCTGGCCCAGTGGTTCTTGAGAAGAAGATTTTCAAAGATTTTTCATATATATTTCTATGTTAAACTTTGACTCCCCATTGTGGCCCCGCCCTTCCCCCAGGGGTCATGATTTGAACAATTTAGAATTTACACTACCCCAGAATGCTTCCACATAAGTTTCAGCTTTTCTGGCCCAGTGGTTCTTGAGAAGAAGATTTTCAAAGATTTTTCCTATATATTTCTATGTAAAACTTTGATTCCCCATTGTGGCCCCGCCCTTCCCCCAGAGGGTCATGATTTGAACAATTTAGAATCTACACTACCCCAGGATGCTTCCATATAAGTTTCAGCTTTTCTGGCCCAGTGGTTCTTGAGAAGAAGATTTTCAAAGATTTTTCATATACATTCTAATGTAAAACTTTGATTCCCCATTGTGGCCCCGCCCTTCCCCCAACGGTCATGATTTGAACAATTAAGAATCTACACTATACCAGGATGCTTCCACATAAGTTTCAGCTTTTCTGGCCCAGTGGTTCTTGAGAAGAAGATTTTCAAAGATTTTTCATATATATTTCTATGTTAAACTTTGACTCCCCATTGTGGCCCCGCCCTTCCCCCAGGGGTCATGATTTGAACAATTTAGAATCTACACTACCCCAGGATGCTTCCATATAAGTTTCAGCTTTTCTGGCCCAGTGGTTCTTGAGAAGAAGATTTTTTAATGACCCCACCCTATTTTTGTCTTTTCTTGATTATCTCCCCTTGTGAGGGGACTTGGCCCTTTATTTTAAAAATTTAAATTCCCCTTCACCCAAGGACGCTTTGTACCAAGTTTGGTCAAAATTGGCCCAGTGGTTCTTGAGAAGAAGTCGAAAATGTGAAAAGTTTACAGACGGACAGACGGACAGCTAGACAGACGGACGGACGACGGACAAAATGTGATCAGAAAAGCTCACTTGAGC